CAGTTGGTCTTACCTGAACTGTTATTTTAAGAGGTGTTTGCAGGATGGGCCAGTTCCCACCCTAAGTTAGTTAGACAGTATTGGGGGTGGAGGTGTCTCCTTTGTGACTTATTTTCAGGATCTTGGGAGCGCATACTGCATTGAAACTGGAGTCAGGGGAGAGGAGCCCAGAGGTGTGGCTTCAGATTCAACCCAGTCTCGAGGCCAATTGACTGTGACAATACCATCACTGGCCCATCCTGCAAACACCTCTTAAAATAACAGTTCAGGTAAGACCAACTGTCAGTCTTTGAGAAAAGTTTCAATTTTTTTATTTTAAAAATTTTATTTATCTATTTGTATCCCAACTTTATTACTTTTACAAATAAAGCAGTGAACATATCTAACACATCCTAATTGCCCCACAACAAGTTGAATTCATGCATACTTCACACAGCTGTAGTTTAATTATTTCTTGGCTTCCTCAAAGCATGTTTTTTATATATTTAAGTTACTGTTCCCTTCAGCCTGTTTGCTTTTGCTTTTGCTTTGGACATTGGAAATCTTTGGGTTGTGTGCCAATTGTGCTCTTTTCTGGATAGGGAGTTTCTGCTTGCTGTCACTCATGCCCTTGTGACTACTAAATGAGCTCTATATGGGGCTGCCCTTAAAGAGCATTTTGAAGCTTTAACTGGTACAGAGCACCTGCATGAGTAGTAAATGGTGCAGTTAATCCACACATGTAACACTCTGAGCTGCATTAGCTTCTGAGTGCAATTGAAAATACTGGTTGTCACCTTTAAAGCCCTTGATCATGTTGAGATTGGGTTTATCTGAGGAACCCCAAATACATACTTTATTTTTAAGCTGGAAGAATGCTGCTCCATAAAGAACACTGCCACACTCTGCAACAGTGCTCCATTCTGGTTTAGCAATATTTTTCAACTCTGCAATATGCTTGGATAGAGCTAGAAATCCTTCTAACAACATACCTATGTATTAGTAAATAGTATTATAATTTGATTGTTCACCTGTTTCAGGCAGCACTTTGTTGGACAAAATGATTTTTTTTTTAATGGAATGTGTCACCTGGCCTTAATTTCTCTTTTTCACAATAGACAATGGACTTTTCATTATTTTCAAACTGTTAAGATGTTTACCCATTTGTTTGATCTCATACTTGTGAAGTAGTTCTTAGGATACATTATTTAAGAATTTTCCTTCTCAATTCTTAAATGAAGGAAGTAATTGTTTATTTTGGGGTGGAAGTAATGTATTAAACTGTTGATTGTGACATTTGTCTTTAAAAGCAGTTTAAATTCAGTTTCTTCAGTCTGCTTCTAAGTTAGATCTGTACATTATAGCCAAGACTTAAGTTGATTCCTGTATGTGACTATAAATAGTTAATGAGTCATAGACAGCTGCTTCACAGGTTAAGTGACTGTCAGCTGAAGACCTTCTTTCTGTCATCTGCTTTCAGTTACCTTAATACTTTCAATATTAGATTTTCACTACAGAAGAACATTTTCTTGTTAATGTTTTGTCCACAGATTAATCTGGAAAGATATATATTTGTAAGAAGATGTAACGATAATTAAAAATTTTAACCCCAAATTATACAATTACTTGCTTCTTTTAAGAATTGAGGCTGAAAATTCTTAAATGTTTAAAGACCCACCCCCCTCTCTTTTGTTGCTGCTTTTCAAAATAATGGGAGTTGGGTGGGAAAAGTTTGGTTTTAAAAATAGTGGGTATATATTATAGATTGTCTAACTATCCTACACCACACTGAAGAAGCTTCTTGGATGAGAAGTGAAATGTTTCAAGGAAAAAATCAAGAAAGTCCAATTGTGCTTTGAACAGCACCTTTGGGACAATCACGACCTGGATGATTGTGAATCTCCATTGACATTCTACGCCAGATGTCTGAAAATTGGTTTAAGCCTTCCTTTATATTTTAAGTGTAAAAAATAGTGTTTTAAGTTTAAGAATTGAGAGATGGCCATGTTTTAGAATACAGTACTATGGATAATCCTATGTCAACAGTTCAAACGATTAATTAAAGGATGGCAAGAAAAATAAAGAGGGAGGAGTTGAAGAATATGAGGAAAGCTTGAGAGTGAATCTGAAATTACTTTAATGACCTGGTTGATTGACTATAGTAAAAGAATTGACAGCTTCTAGGTTTTTTAAAAATAATTCAGAAGTACGATTTGTGTGTTCAGATTAGTCATAGTTAATATTAATGTTCTCTGCAATGTTGACAGATCCAACAAATAAAAAGATGTAGCAAAAACACATACATATACCTTCCTCTTTTCATTCTTTGTCTTTCTGTCTTTATTTTAAACTATTATTTAAATAGTTTTGAATTATATAAGAGGCTGATTTCTCCTTGCTTGACAGTTTGAGAGCTTGCTTAAAATTTGAAATATGTATAGAAATGAAAGAAGAATAAACAATCTTCCTGAAATTTTTAATTTTTTGCATCATTCCTGCTTGAGATAATAGCTCAGCTGCATTGATTTAGTATTTAAAAATACATATACAGTAACTGAAAGACTCTTAGCCTTTCAGCTGTGACTTCATAATCTTCAAGTAAAAACAATGGTAGTCAGAAAAATATCTACATATTGAGGTGTACATTTGCTGAAAAGAAAATCAATGTAAGTGTACATGCAGCATGTATATGGATATATTAATTTCTGTGCAGTTGTTTTAGAACCAAATCATAAGAATTTGGAAATTATAATTATTTCGTTTAGACATATGGTCTTTATAGAAAAAAATCAGCTTAAAAAAAGTAATAATCCATATCCACAGGATGAACAGAAAAAGGGAAAACATTCACAGATGTATACTGAATTAAACTGCCCCATGACAAATATAAAAGAAGAAAATGATAAAATATTAGGGAACTACAATCAGCAATGACTCTATTAAAAAATTGTGTTTCCTGATGTACCTTCTGTTGATTTAGGATAAATTCAGTTCATTGCAAGTTAGAATAAGATCATAGCATTACATCAGTACCATTTAACTGGAAAGAAAAAAAAACATGAGAATTAAAGATCTGGTTATAGAAATTTAGTGAAAGAAAATAAATCTTAGGTACCGTATTTTTCAGAGTATAAGAAACACTTTTTTCCCTCAAAAAAGAGGCTGAAAATCTGGGTGCGTCTTATACACTGAATACAGCATTTTTTGCCTCCTGAAACACCGTCCCCTTCACCAAAATGGCTGTGCAGAGCCTGTAGAGGGCTTTCAGAGAGCTGGGGGCTGGGGAGGGCAGAAATGAGTGAAAAACGGGCTATTATTTGCTCAATTTTGCCCCCCTCCCCAGCCTCCAGGAGCAGTCTATAAGCCGCCTAAGGGCTATGTATGCAATTATTTTGACACAAACAGGCTCGTTTTTTGTTTATTTTGGGGGGGGGGCACCCCCCATGAGCACTGTGCAAGC